AGGGGGCGTCTCTGTCCCCAGCCCCTGGCTCTGGCTGCAGACACCTGGCAGGCTCTGTCCCAGAGAAGGACGTGCAGGTGACAGCATGCCCGGCCCAGCCCGGCCCTCCAGAGTTGTGTGCGTTTCCACGTGCTCCCTGGTGTGAGAAGGGTGTGTTTCATCTGGAGGGGGACGCGGGGCAGAGCCACTCCCAGCTGAGACCAGAATCACGAGAAATAGTTAACGCTAGCTGGCTTCACGCTGAGACCCGGGAGCAGGCGGTTACACAGCAAACGCTGACATCGCAAAGACATAATTGGGTGTGTGAGTCGGTGTTTTATGTTGCTCTCTGCTGAAGTGACAGACAGGTAACTAAAAAAGTGAACATTTGGGTGGAGGACAGGCCATTCACAAGGGGAAATACCGAATGGCCAATAAGCAAGCAAAAAAAACTCAGCTTCACTAGTAATCCCTCCCTCAGCCTCCCAAGTACCTGGAACCACAGGCCTGGCTAGTTTATTTCTTGTAGAGATATATTTTTGATGGATTGTCTCACCACGTTGTCCAGGCTGGTCTTGAATTCCCGAGCTCAGGCAATCCTCTTGCCTCGGCTTCCCAAAGTGCTGGGATTGCAGGTGTGAGCCACATCCCCAGAGGTTTTTTTCTTCCGCGTATAAAACCACCCACGAAACGGTCCAAATCTGAGCTGCCCGGAGGGAGGTTTGGGTGCAGGCTCTGGCTCCCTTCCAGGGTGGGTGCCCTGACCCAGAGAGAGCAGAGGCAGAGATGCGTGGGGGGAGTGAGCTCGGGTGCCACTCTGCGAGGACTTGACTCATGCTTCTGCCACTTGCCGGCGTGCGACACCCGGGGAGCAGCTTCACCTTGTGTGCCTCAGTTTCCCCATCTGAAGTCGCTGAGCCTGCCTCCTGGGGCTGTGGCAGGGAAGAGTGCCGGGGCTCGTTTAGGGCCAGGCGTGTGCCCGGCAGGCGGGGAGTGGGGAGCGTGGCTGCCCTGAGCAGTTGTCCCGCCCTGGTCCCTTTCCAGCATCCCCCGGGCCCTGCGAGCCGCCTTTGCTTGCTTGGGCCCGGGGGCTTGGAGGCCGCTGGAGGAGTGGCCCGGGGGCGGCCGAGACGCCCACCCTGCCCCTTTCTACGCGGGCCAGGAGACTAGACCCGGCAGCTGGGGAGACCCATGGGCACCGGTTCCCGCACGGGCGGCACGCGTGTGTCCTCAACGAGCCCTCCTGAGAACACGTCTCCCTGCTCAGTCACCACCGTCAGGGATGCCGTGGAGGGCAGCCCGGGGCAGGGCCCACATTGATGGAGGGACGCGTCCTCTGAACCAACTTCTGTTGCCCTCCCAGCAGCCTCGAGCGTGTGGCTGACGCACCCGACCCCAAAGAGGAAGTGGGAAGGGAGGGCCCCGCGTCCCATGCCTTCCTGCACCCTTTGTCCCCAGAGGCCCCTGCTTGAGTGCCTGGCAGGCCCAGGAAACCCTGTGCCAGCAGACGGGCTGGGGGGCAACACAGGACACAGCCCAGGGGAGAATAAGCCAGAGGAGGGGGCCAGAAAAACTTCTGGGGATGTGGCTCACACCTGCAATCCCAGCACTTTGGGAAGCCGAGGCAAGAGGATTGCCTGAGCTCGGGAGTTCAAGACCAGCCTGGACAACGTGGTGAGACAATCCATCAAAAATATATCTCTACAAGAAATAAACTAGCCAGGCCTGTGGTTCCAGGTACTTGGGAGGCTGAGGTGGAGGGATTACTAGTGACAGAAAACCTCTGCCTTCAATGGATTCAGCCAGAGGGGACGCCTATCACATTTTCTATCCGTCACCAATTGCTGCGGTGATGCTGTCTAACAACCATGCCCAAAGTCAGGAGCTTTAAACAAGCATCATTGTCCTCACAGTCATGGGTCTGATCTGGGAAGGGCAGATGGGACCCAGGTCCTCCGAGGTGTCTTTCCTCCTTCTTGGGCCAGCAGCTACCTGTGCCTCTAATTATGACGTCCAAGGCAGAAGCACAAGAAGGGTGAGCGGACACAGATGGGACATGCTGTCTCTCCCAGCCACACCGTGGGCTGAGGCAAGAGACGTGAGCACGCCCAGCTTCCAAGGGTGAAGAGCTGCAAAGGCGGTGGCGGAGGAGCATGCCCAGGGAGACCGAGGGTGCACGAAGAGCGACCCAGTCTGGTACCTGCTTCCCCCGGGAGCCACTCTGGGTGGTGGGTGGGACTGACGCCAGAAGGGCCGTTTTGCAGGTAAGGAAGCTCCCGTGGTCTGGAGAGGAAAATGGTTTCTTTCTCGTCCCAGGACAAGGCGGGCCTAGACCCCAGGCCACTTGGTCTCCTAGCTCCGCATGCGGCCGACCAGCCTAGACGTTGGCTACCCACCCTGCACGCACCGGGGCAGGGCTCACCCCAGCCGTGTTACCAGACCTCCAGATGTAACGTTTCCAGAAAGCCTGAGGCTGCAGGAGGTGCACATATGACCACCCGTGGGCACTCACAGACGAACACACACAGAGAGGGTGAGAGCTAATTTTTGCCCAAACTGAGGGATTCTGGAGGAAAAAATCTATATGCAATACTGTATTTTTAGTCTTCACTGGTGCTAAAAGCATTTCTGGCACCTTTCGAGACGGAGCGCCACTGGGTGAGCTTGGGAACAGAAAGCTGCGCTGCGCCGTCACCTGTTCCGTCAACGTGCCTCGCCGGGTGCACTCCCACGGGGCAGGGTGGCGTCCGGCTGCACTCGCCTCGCTGACCCCAACCGTGCTCCCAAGTGGTGCTCACCCTGGGGAGGAAGGAATCTGGAGCACCAGCCGTGTCCACCCGAGACGGGTGGAGGGAGGACACCATCGCGTCAGAGACAAGCCAGTAGGGCAGATGCCGAGCCCTCTCCACCACGTCTGGAAGAAGCGGAGGCGGTCGGCTTCCTGGCGCCCTGCAGGCCCGGAAGGGTGACCGGACACAGGCGTGGCCCCCACGCCCGCACCAGCCACGGGTCAGACCTGCCCCAAGACAACCCAGCGTGGGGAGGGCGGGGCGGCCAGCCGAGCGGCCTCCCTGGAGATGCCTTCAGTCCCTCGGACTGCTCCTCTCGGACACTGCCACGCCAGCACACGTGATGCCTGGATCCCGCCAGCTTGCTTGTGGGACCGAGCGGCCCGAGGGCAGGGCTGATCCTGGGTGCTGTGTGCCAGGGGGGCCCCGCGCTGAGCGTCTGCTGGGTCATGGAGGGACTGAACAGAATCAGGCCTGTTCCCATCCCCAGGGAGGGAGGGCGGTGGTCCGGGAACGGCGGCACAGAGCAGGGAGCACCGTGGCAGCAGGCCCAGGGGCTGGGAGAGAAGCCCTTCCCGCACACCTCCGACCCTCCCCCTCTTCATCTGGTAGCTCCGGATAACGCCCCTTTCCATCTGGGCTCCTGGGGGGGCCCTGGGCCAGTCTTTCCTGACAATGGTGGGGACAGCAGCCCGTGTGGGTGCAGCATCCCGCACCAACCCACTCACCTGGTCCTTGCAGACACTCGCAAGGCCAGTGCTCCGTATTTCCCAGCCAGGGAGACCAGGGGAGCACGGAGGGCACGTCCAGGGAGCAGAGGCTCCTGCACTGAGCCGTTCCACGTGGGAAGGTCACGGCAAGGGCCGGCTGACCCTTCGATCCTACAGCCGTCACTGTCTCCAAGCGCGTCTGTGCCATCACCACCCCTCCCGCTCCCCAGGGCCCTCTGGACCCACCTCTTTTCTGCCCGGCACTTCCACTCCACCCGGGACCTGAGTCTTCCCTAAGTTTGGCCATGGCTCCCTCCCTCCCTTTTCTTCCCGTCATGTTGTGGGCTCTATGGTGCCCATCTCACAGAGAATGCTGAAGCCTAGAGTGGGGGACAGAACGGGACAGGAGCCCACGGCAGGAGAGGGAGAACCCCAGCTCCGTCTGATCTCAAAGCCTGGATGGGGCCAGTGCAATGAGCAAGTGAGGGAAGCGTAAGGACGGCAGGGCTGTCAGGAAACTGCATTTGCTGCTCTGGAAAGTGGGGAGTGGTGGGGCTGGCCAGTCAGCTGTGAAGAGGCTGCACCCACTCCGAGGGCAGGGCCGACTGTGGAGGGCTTAAGGAACGGGACATCGGGGAGAGATCTCCGAGCAGCAGCACAGGGAGTTGGGGGCAGGGAGGCTGGCAACAGGGAGGCCGGGAGGGGGACCTGGAGAGATATCTCTCGGCAGAGACAGGCAGCGGGAGGCGGGAAGAGCGAGGATGGCAGCACCCTCCTGTAGGAGACCCTTCCTGCGTGTGCCGGGCGCTTCTGCCTCCCTTCTGCCCTTACGCGACGGCTCCTAGCGGCCAGAGGCTGGGGATGCCACGTAGACTCTGACTGCCTTCTGCCAGCCACAGTCAGGGCTCAGGTCCGCAGGAAGAGGGTGGAGTGGACGTCGGGAATGAACGCACCGGTCTGCGGGTCCCCTAAGCACCGTGCCACACCTGTGAAGAGGACACTGATGGCACGGTCCGCAGGGCACGGTCAGGACCACGCCTGAAGGCAGGTGAGGGTGGAGGGCGAGCTGGCCCAGAACTGAGGAGCTGCCAGCCAGGCAGGCAGGGATAAGGCGAGGTGCCCAGACTGCAGAGACTGCAGGGAGAGGGAGAGGGAGGGGCCCAGTGAGGCCCTAGCCTGAGACAGCAGCACCAGAGGGAGGGGAGGGGAGGGGGCAGCCAAGGCAGTGGAGGTCGGAGGGAGCACTGTACTTCCAGAGAAAGAGGCAATCCAGGCTGACATGATGCCTAGGCAGGAAGGAGCCAGCAGGACGGAGAGGTGGCGCCCAGCGATCCCCTACAGGAAAGGCGCCTGGGCTGGGTCTCAGAGGTGGGCGTTGGACTGGTGGCCTGGACGTCAAAAGTGCCAGGAGGCTCAGGTGCAGTGCGGACCTGCTCTCTGAGACTACGTAGGAGCCACGTTCCAGGGCTCTGATGACTGCCACACAAGATACAGAAAATCCTAGCAATGATCACAGACTTTGTAAGAAACTATATAGAGCTTTATTCAATAAACCAGGTAGAAATGCTCCTGTTTACATCCAGGTGTCCGTTTGAGCTCAAATAATAAGCAAGGCACAATTCTTCCTTTCCCCAGCTTCAGCGAGGTCAGGCCCATGGCCTAGCCCCACAGGAGAAGTGGCTTTGCACTTGAACCTCACAGTCTGCAGGACTGTCCATACACGGCATCCACGCGTGGACGGCTCTGGGCACAAGTCTCCGGATCTCCCTGAGGGTGGCACCGCCCCAGCCTGGAGCTGAGGAAGGCATGTTCTGAGTCTTAGATCCAGACCAAAGTGCTGGGAATAGGAAGAGCTTTCTGAGTGGTCTTCTCCACCCCAGCCCTGGGGAGTCTCTTCCTGGTGGGCAGGCCTGAACTGGAGACCGCCCTCCTCACTGGCCCTGGGCGGGCTCTGGGCCGCAGGAAGCTGCTGGGATCCCGGGCCCGGGAGCTGCTCACAGAGAGGCCATCTCTCTCACAGGTAGCGATGGCTCAGATCTGCTGAGGTACTAACAGAAGGAGCAGATAACACTGAGTCTTTGCACTGAGGCAGAACAGAGAGCTTCAGAACCAACACACGCAAGAAGGTCCTGCCACCACCTCAAGGACGTTTTCCTAAGGACAGCTCTGGATGTCCCCACACTGATGGAGAGCCACGACAGGGAGGGTGAGAGGGACCTGCCTGGGACATCCCTGCAGGCTGGAAACCAAATCAATGGATGTTTTCACAGCTTATGAAACAAACACAACTGACGTCTGTTCACAGCACCCAAAGCCTGTTCACACTGAGCAGGCCTGCAAAAGCACATGCGGTCTCAGCATTTAACCACACGGTTTCAGCTGAGGCTCCAGGTCCTGGTTCCTGAGGCTTCACAGCAGGCGGGGCAGGCACAGGACACTCATGTCTGTCTGCTCCCCAAATTTCCTAGCAGCAGCCAGACTGGGGGAAAAGGTAGTTTTCAAGGGGGTGGGGGGGGGAATCCCCACCAAGGAATCTCCAAAAGAAGCTAGACATCATTTCCCTGAGACCCTATGGAAAGGTCGTCTACAGACAGCTTCTAACAGAGCTTCACGGCTCAGAGTCTTGAGAAGGGGGATTTTAGCAAGGCTGGGAAAACAAAAACACAACCGCTCATTGTCCAGAATCTTAGACGACCACGCAGAATGCAGAAAGGAATGAGCCAAAACGTCTTAGCTTTGTAAGACTGGGAGGGAAAAAGACACAAACTTACAACTCCTACATCAAAGAATAAATGAAAGAGCATAACCTAAACTATGGAGTGCTGTGGACACAGGTGGCAGTGAAGTCAGTCTGAGGACAGGCCATCCAGGGGTCTAGTTCTGGCGTGAGTGCAGCAGCCACGGCCCCGCCCTGAGGCCACCGGGGAAGGTCAGGGCTCCTGTGGAAGAGCCCTGGCCCCTCGGGCTGCCTACTGGGACGCGTAGGCCGGGCTCCACAGCCCCGAGGGGGGACTGGCTTTGCGAACAGGAGGCGACGTGTGGAGGGACGTGAGTGGCGAGGCAGCAAAGTCTAGGTGAAAGAGAGACACAGTAAGCCACAGAGCCCAGGGGGAGCAGGACAGTCTTTAAACACTGTCAGCACCAAGGCAGAACAGGCAGCAGGAAGTGCCTGCCGTGTCCAGCTGGGCTGGCCCTGGGAGGGAAGGAGTGAGGCCAGGAGTTTGAGACCAGTCTGAGCAACACAGCCTGCAGCGAGGCCGGGACGTGACCCTGACCTTGATAGTACAGAGCAGGCCAGAGCGTCCACCCCTGACCTCAGGACAGCCTGGCAGCCCCTGACAGAGTGTGGCATGTGGGAGCGAGGCCTGGTCCATCCGACGGACGCAGCTCAGGGTGAGAACACCGTGTGGACAGACCCAAGGGAGCAGAGGGTTCTGAAGACAGCACCAAGACCCTGGTGGCCAGCAAACACGGGGGTGGAGCGCTGGGGGACGTGGCTAGAAAGGCCGAGGCCTGCTGCAGGAACGGCTGGGCACAGCTGCACATCTGCATGGGTGAGCTGCAAGGATCCTGCAGCCGTCTCAGGCACCCCCACGGGCCTGAGGCAGCCAGGCAGATGGCGAGGGTGGGGGGATGGTCTCACCCGGGAAAAAGCTTCTATGCACAAGTTGTCCCCTTTCCAATCACTGATGGACCCCCTTGAAGCCTGGCCACGGCCCTCCACGGGATCAGCAGACATCAGCTCAAGGACTGACGTACGGGAGGGACCCTCGCCTGGGAATCCAGGGCCGTGGGGGCCGTGGTGTGCAGCTGCACAGGCTGGTCCGGCACATCTTCGGGGGCACCACTCACAGAAAGAGGTGCCCCCTGGGGTTGTGCTGGGCCACCAGGGCCCGAGAGGCACCAGAGGCCACTGGACTTGGGAAAGAAACGGGATCTGCCCTCCTTCTGGGAAACCCCGCCTCGGGCCTGCCCCGAAGCCCCTCCCGGGGGCGGCTGGTCGGACCCCAGCGTCGCGCTTCCCGGGCAGCCCCCACGGGGAGCACCCAGTGCCAGGGGCCCACCTGCCTGACTCCACCAGCAGGGCTGTGCCTGGGAAAGCCCCTGCCGGCCCAGGCCTGGCATCTGAGGCCCCCTCTCCTGCTCCCCCTGCTGGCTCTCACAGCTGTCCTCTGGACCTCGGCGGGCTGCTCCTCGTGCCCGCCACCGGCCTGCAAAGGCTCAGGGTCCAGCCTTGGCCTTGCTCCCTCTGCCCCTGCCCTCCTCCTCCCAGCAGCCTGCTGGGCTGCGCCCGCGGGAGCAGGTACTCACAATGGGGGCTGTGCCCGGGGCTGGCTCGGGGCGCGAGGGCGGCAGGTGTGGCAAGCTCTCGGGGCGCGCAGACCGTGTGGTAGGCTGCAAGAGTGCCCGGTTGGTCAGGACTGGTGGGGCAGGGACGGGGGCGGGCCGGGGACGCACGGGGCTGGTCTTACCTATGACCATGACCGCCGTCCCGGCCAGCAGGGCGAAGAGCGTGAAGAACATGACCTGATAGGAGTCCAGGAAGTGCTGAAAGAGGCTGGCTCCATCTGCATCAACAGGAAGACGAGTTAGCAGAACCGCCAGGGCGCCTACATTCCCCGAGCGGGTGTGCCACTGCGCCTCTGCAGGACGGCAGCGATGGGACCCTCTTCCCATGAGGAGGGGGGGTCTCCGAGGACTGAGGCTTTCCAGGGGCCCAGGTCAGCGTCTGGTCCTGCAAGCCTAGTGCTGCATCTCTGTTCCGCTTGGGCCATCTAACCCAGACCAGCTCTCCTGAGCCCCCGATTCCCCGGGGGTGGGCTCTTCCCATGCCATGGCCCTGGGCTCAGCAGGCAGGTGAGGTTCCCGGGCCTGTCCTGCCTGGAGGTTAACCATGCCGCCCCAAGAGGCAAGGAGGGCAGTTCTGCAGATGCCAGACTGTGAGTGAGAGCCTCAAAACAAAGATACTGGCTGAGATCCCCCTGGTGGGCTAGGGTGCCACCACTCTCAGAACCCGAGCCTCAAGCACTGCCCTTGATGCCTCACGTGCCCGTGCCCCAAAGCTGTTTCTCCTCGGGCCCCACCTAGGGATGGCCCTGGCTTCCTCCTCCATCCCCCTCCTCCTGGCCCCTGACCCTCATGCCACGCCACCAGACTGCCCAGTCAGGACGCATCCCTGCTCTCCCAGCTTGGCAGGAAGAAGGCGGCAGGTGGCCTCGATGCCCCTAACGGCCACCTGCTCCCTTCAGCCTGCTCCCACCAGGCAGCCAGAACAGCCACATCCCTTCCCTGCTCCACTCGGGGGAAAGCCCAGACCCTGGCCTGGCACTCTGGCTCTTCCCGGCCCAGGGCCCCATCATCCCGGGGTCCTCTCACGGCATCACCCTCTCCCCTGGGTTCCTCCTCCTTTCAGCCCTGCTGGAGCAGCCCCTCTGAACCGAACTCCTCCTGCCAGGCTGCAAGTAGCCCCCTCTCTTTTGCCACATCATCAGAGCCATCTCTTTCCTCTGCGCCTGTGATGCGGGATCCTCTCTCTCCAAAGGACCTTCTCATGCATCTGCCTGCAGAGGCTGGCCCTCGACAAGTGCGAATAAGTGACATGAAATGAATCTATTCACTCAGCGGTAAACACACTGAGTACCCACCTGCTCTTGTCAGGTAAGGCCCTCCGGGCACTTTCCCTGCATACGCGACTTCTAGTTGGGGAAGATGAGTGGAAACTCTGATAACCAATTATGTCATTATGTAAGTAGTGGTTGGCCACAGTGCGGTGGTGGAAGGAAAAGGGGTAAGTGTTTGAGAGAGGGTCCTATGTTAAGTACTACCTGAGCAGGTAATACTTGAGGAGGCGAGGGTGTTGCCCACGGGGCCACCAGGGGGACAGCACCTCAGGCATGGGGAACAGTGGATGCCAGGGGTTTGAGCTGGGGGCTGCACATGCTCCCGAAACAGGACGAAAGCCAGTGTGGCTGGAGCGGGCAACACAAGGGGAAGATGGGTCACAAATGGGCAGAGAAGACCCATCACGCTGGACCTTGTGGGCCACTGCAAAGACGTAGACTTTGCCCCGAGGGAGGATGTGGAGAAGGGGGCGTGGCCCCTCCGGCTGCCGTGGTGGGAACGGATGGGAAGGCTGGGAGTGAAGCGAGCAGGATGGCCCAACGCGCAGCTGTCACTCGGAGGGACGTCCTGCATTGCCGCCTTCTCCTAGTCTCACCCCCCAGGTGCCTACTGACCCCTGCCAACACTCTGGCCAGTCCCTCCCCACCCAAGGCGGTCTTGGCGATGCTGTCCCGGGACTCACAAGGACCAGGCCCACGGCGGTCCATCACCAAGGTCACAGCCACGGGGATGCTGACGGTGTGGCCGGTGGAGGGGCTGGAGAAGGTCAGGGCAGTGGACAGAGGCCCCTGGCTGCCTGCCACAGGGTCCGAGATGCTGACGGTGTATGTGACGAAGCCAGGCGGCCCCAAAGTCCTCTCCTTCATGAAAGCCAGAACGGCCGGGGACCCGGACTTCACCTGGGAGAGACGAGGGCTGGGCGTAAACTCTGCAGAGCAGATGGACTGCCACGGGGGCTTTGGGACGCCCCCGTGGGAGGGCGGCTCTGGGCAGCCCGCTGTTGGCACCCCCATTTCAGCTGACATGTTGGGCCTCCTCCCCGGGGCCCAAAGGGTATGGGTGAGGCCCTCTGCCCAGGTCACACCTCCCAGGCAGGCAACGATGCCTGGCCTGCTTGAGGACCAAGTGTGCCGTCGGCAAAAGCAAGAGGCACCGTCTGTACTCAGGGCACTTTGAAAGGAAAGGACAGACCAACTTCATGGGCTGCTAACCAACCGCCACTTAAAAAAGGCCAGACCAGGCCAGGCGCGGTGGTTCATGCCCGTATTCCCTACTCTTTTGGAGGTCGAGGCAGGAGGAGCGCTTGAGGCCAGGAGTTTGAGACCAGCCTGGGCAACATGCAAAAACTCATCTCTACAAAAAATGAAAAATTAGCTGCATGTGGTGGCATGTGCCTGTAGTCCCAGCTACTCAGGAGGCTGAGGCAGAAGAATTGCCTGAACCCAGGAGGTATTGAGCCGTGATTATGCCACTGCACTCCAGCCTGGGCAACAGAGTGCCCACAACTTAAAAAAAAAAAAAAAAAAAAAGCTAGGCCAGGCCCAGTGGTTCAAGCCTGTAATCCCAGCACTTTGGGAGGCTGAGACGAGAGGACTGCCTGAGCTCAGGGGTTCAAGATCAGCCTGGGCAGCTTGGTGAAACCTTGTCTTTACAACACATCAAAAAATAAGCTGGGCATGGTGGCTTATGCCTACAGTTTCAACTCTTGCAGAGTTGAGGAGGAAGGGTCGCCAGAGCCCAGCAGACAGAGGCTGTGGTGACCGTGAGTGTGCCACTGCACTCCAGCCTGGGTGACAGAGTGAGGCTCTGACTCAAAAATAAAAGCCAAGCCAACCTGAAGCACCCCAAGCACTGACATGCCAAGGGGCGGCCCAGGGCTCCACGCGGGCCTGCCTCCCTCGCCGGCAACACTCACGGGGTGTCTCGGAGACGAGAGGGCTAGCTGCGGCAAGACAGCAGGAGACACAGGCGGAAAGGCCAGGGGGTCCCTCGTCCCCTCCCAGAACCCGCCCCACGCACCTCTGCTTCGCCCGAGAGAGTGAGCACTGGAGACAGGCCGGTGCCCAGCAGGGACCAGGGCCCTCCTGCTCCCTGCAGAGCATGTGTGCACCGGACCCCTGAGCTCAGCTCAGCACAGCACACGCTCGCCAAGCACGCTCCGGTCCCCAGCGCCGCCTCATGCCAGCCTGCGGAGGGGCGGCCAGCAGAGACCATGACGACTAACACGGGGCGGTGGACCGGGGGCAGGAGCGCACGGGAGCAAGAAAAGGGGAGCACACTCTCCTGCTTGAGAACCTTCTCCCTGCACACTTCCACTTCAAAGCGAGCAGGCCTGGGACGGCCACGCCACGCTCTTCCCTCCTCCGGGTCCTTTCCGATGCCCCCAGCTCCCGCCTGACCCAGCACCGGACACCGCTCACCTCTAAGTTCTCCAGAACCTCCGGGGCCCCAAAGACCTTGATGTCGGAGCTGGGATAGCGGCTGCTCAAAAGGATTTCAGCCGGGTCGGCGTAGAGACCCGAGATGAACGGCACCTCGGCCCCGACCTGCTCTGCAGAGAAGTGGCTGCTGGGAAGGGAGGCGGTGACCACCAGGGCTGTGGTCTTCATGCTCAGTGGCTTCAGCTGCTTGTCTGTCAGCCTGCGCATCCTGACCCGGCAGAAGTACTGGCCTGCGGAAACAAGCGCGTCCTGCCTTGTCTCCTCTCCCACCCTCCCATGGGGGTTATCCCTTCTCTCTTCTCCAGCTGGGAAACTCCTACACATCCTCCAAAGCCTAGGTGAGATGTCACCTCCCCCAGGAGGCCTTCAGGAATCCCTCTTCAGGGCCCCCAGCTGAGCTAGGATGCCCTGCCACCAGCAGTCCCCTCACTGTCTCAGAAGCTTCTAGTTCCCGGATCCTCCTTTGAGGGGTGCTGCTGGAGCAGGAGCATGTCAGGGCAGATTGCACTTCAGGACCCAGCCAGCCTGGCCCAGAATGAGACAGAATCGATGGCAGGCCCCAGGACTTGACGCTGGGCTGCAGGCTGAGCCAGGGCTGACCCAGGACAGCCTATGGCCCAGGTACGGAGGGCAGTTCCGTGGAGGCGCACACCGTAACTATTTTGGCTCCTGTCCTACCCTCCACACCTGACCATGCAGATAATCTGAGCAGGATGAGTGCTGAGGGGCAAGGTCTCAGGAGCCTGGACGCGGGGGCAGGGGGCGGCGGGGGGAGGCTCCTTCCATGGCCACACCTGCTGCGAGGGGCCCTCAGGCGGGCCAGCCTCCTTGCTGGCCCTGGGTGTTGCTGGGCCCGGGGATGCAGAGGGCAGCAGGGCTACCGACTGAGAGCCGGCTCTGTGCCAGCTGCCGGGCCAGCCCTGAGCTATGATTAGGTAGAGGAGGGGTTGCCAGGAATCGCAGGTAGTTCAGATCGGAGTGTCGGCACTGGTTCTGGGGCTCATGTCCAGGGCGTGGCAGGCAGGCTGGCCCATAGGATGCGTCTCCTGTGTCCACAGTGCAGCCTCCCTTGGCCAGCCAGGGCAAGGCCCGGCAGTCCCTGGAGTCCACAGAGCTGCCTCAGCCCCACTGTCCGCTGTCCCGGGTAAGCAGTCAGGCTCTGCATATGGTTCAGCCCTTGCCTGTTCGTGGGGGACACTTCCGTCCCCCTCTCGCTCACCCCGCCCAGGCAGGGCGAGGCCCCTTTGTCCCCCCGTCACAGAGTGGAGGCTCGTAGGGGGCAGCCTCGACACCCACAGGCAGAGCAGCGGAGGAGACGCCGACCCGAGGTTCACTCTGAACTCTGCGTTCCTTCTGCTGCTCGGCTCAGGAAGGCCAACCCCTCCCGGCGGCCACAGGGAGCCACGAAGGCCAGGCCCTGGCATCCACCCCTGGGCGGGGGTCCTGACAGCCTCTACCCCTCAGAACAAGTGGCTACCGCGAGCCACCCACAGAACACCCGAGAAACCGCGAGGCAGGAACTCTGCAGTTCCCTTCTTCCTTCCAAATCCCCGCAAATTTACCCAGAACAGTGTCAAATCCCGGCTCCACGGTGAAGACGTCACGTGCGGGGAAGTCGAAGATGGCATGCTTGAACTGCAGCTGGCAGCGGACCAGGGACTCGGGACGCAGGGTCTCCACGACGGCCCTCTGGGCGGGGGAGCACTCGCCTAGAGAGGAGGGACAGGAGGGCATGGCAAGACCCAGCAGCCACCACCCCGCGGCTGCCATGGGCAGGCGTGGGCGGTGCTCGCTGGTGACCGGGCAGAGGCGATTTTGGATACCCCAATCAGTGACTCGCGCTGCCAAGCCCTTCGTTTCTGGGGGTGAGCTGTGGCTTTCTTGGCTCTGGTGCCCTAGGGCTACAGTCGCACTTCTAGGTCAGAAAAGACCATTCCCGGGAGCCAAGCTCTCAAGGAGGGCTCCTTTCACCACCCGGCTTGTGGGGAACTCGCATTTATTTCTGCAAGGCTGAAAGGAGCGCAGAAGCTGGGGCTGACTCAGGAGCTGGAGTGAATTTGAGTAAGAAAGGCAGGTAAAGCCCATCCGAGGGGCCCAGGCAGCCACGTCCCTGCTCCTGGAGCCTAACAGGGTCCCCAACAGGCCATCCGAGCCCCCTCACACTGTACCTCTCAGGTTAGAACTTCTGTCTCCCACAGCAACAACCACTTTGGAGGCTGCGGCCTCCTGGAAGCCGGGCTGGACGGGCTGGGTGTGCTGGGCCATGATCCTCTGAGGAACGCCGACCACAATCTAGGAGGAGCCAAGGCAGCTTTATGGAGCCCCTGCGGTGTGCAGGCCATGCTGGGCACTTCACGACCTCCCCCTGCGGCCTATGACGACATTCCCCAGCTCACAGGGGCAAGGGCAACACTGAGGCTCAAAGCCGAACTGCCTTGCTGGAATGTGGCAGAGCCAGGTGGAGCCAGGCAGATGGGATTCACAGCCCAGCGTTCTCACTGAACGCGTGGCCTCTCCCCACAGCCGACTGGTGGTGAGGGGCAGGCCTGATGCATTCGCCGGGCTGGGTGGGCTGAGGGTTTTGTGGACTTTGACTCCTGGGACAGTCGCGACCTCTGTTCATGAATTTGGTTAATCCATCTGACAGCAAAGGGAGAAGAACCCATTTCTGCTTTGTTGTCATTCGATCAGAATGAGTCAACCTGGCCAGAAGGTAAACCCACACAGCCCAGATAGAGAAGCCCCCCAGAATCCGGTCTGCCCAGATTTCCCCAGATCTGGTCCATCCTGGATCAGGCCTCTGCTCCCTCTGTGTGGGCCCCTCCAGCCTCTGAAGAGCCTGACCTGCCCGCCCTTCAGGCCCAAGGCCATCTCTCTCAGCAGGCATGAGTACCCCCTGCCTCCAGGAGGTCTGGTTTCCACCCGGATGTGAATTCCTGGAGGACAGGGATGGGTCTCACGCCTCCTGGAGCCCCCGCAGCTCCCAGGGCTGCACTGATGCAGGGCCAGTGGTGACCAGGCCTCCTTCACCTCCCAACTCGCCAGTGGACCCTGCTGCCAAAGCATCACCTGCTCCCGGGGTCACTGCTGTCGACCCCCAAGGACTGACCAGAGCTGTGCCCCCTGCCCTGCCCGGGACTCCCCACCCCTACTCCGTGTCCCAGCCTCCTGTCTTCTCCTCCTGACTGACGGCCGCCGTCTCCCCACCTCCTCCCCTGCCTGCACCTGCTCCTGCGCTCTGGCCCACCCCCAGGGCTCCAGCGACCACCTCTGTGCTGGGGGCTCCCACCTTGTCTCCAGCCTTCCTCGTGAGCTCCGGGCACCCCTGCCAAGCTCTGCCCCTTGCCTCCCCTGAAGGAGCTGCAGCTACCCAACTCACTGGCCCAGACTCCTCACCCCCACCCCCACCTCGGCCACCTCTCTGTGCGCCACTATCAGAGAAGCCTGGTCACCAGCCCGGCCCCGGAGTCTCCCCGGGCCTCACCTTTGAGGGCGCCGAGTGCAGACAAGCCTCCCTCCGGAGTCCCTCCCAGACCTGCCCCGACTTTCTGTCCCACCCAGTGTTGCCCGCTGGGGGCCGGGCCTCAATCCCCGGTCTGGTCACCCCGCAGCCAGCCCCACTCTCTCCCCAGCGGCCCCCGATGCCACGTGACCTTTCCAAACACATCCTGGTCTGTATCACTCCTGCTTAAAGAAGCCCACGGGGCATGGCATGAGCTCCACCCCTTCACCCTGAACAGTGACGGCGGCAGGTGACGTCCTCGGACTACTTGCTGTGGGTAGTGCCGTGCCAGTGCAACACACACGCGGACGCACTGAACCTTCACAAGGCCGTCACCCCCATTCCCCAGGCAAGAAAACGGAGGCACAGCGAGGTCCAGTAAGGCGTCCAAGGCCACACAGCTCTCCGTGGGGCTGGGGCGTGCCTGGCTGGCTCTAGAGCCCACATGCTCCTCCAGCACTGAGCTGCCCAGGATCCAGTGCATTCCCGGACCGGGTCCCAAAGCCACACTCACTTCCCCCCACCCGCCGCTCCAGCAGTCCCTGCTCTGCCCTCCAAGCCCACACACCTTTGCCTGTGCCACCCCCGCCCTGACCATTCTTGACTTCACGGTCACACAGGGCCTCTGTCTACAGTCAGCCCGCCCAGACTGCAGAGACACGGCATTCAATATGCAAACTATGAGGTGAGACTGCTGGATCCAATGAAGTAATGCTGGCTCCAAAAACAAGACCCATGTGGGTCTCGGCCAGACTTTGCTCACGGATTCAGTCTTGGCTGGAGAGAAACGGAGGGCAGAGGAGGTTTTGGTCGCCGCCTCCAGGAGGACTCAAAGGTGACTTGCAGGGGGAACTTTGACGTGGCAGGTGCCAGGGAACCGCTGACTCTCGGGAAGCGCCCACGGGGCTGCCAGACCCAAGTGCAAGGGAGCCGGGATCAGCCCTGCAGGCACCTCTTGCCATCACACCCTGGGAAGGAAAGGGGCTGTGTGCCCATCTCAGTCCGTCAGGCCCAGTCTCACGGCTCCCAGTTGCCCAGCCCTCAGGCAGCGCTGGGCAGCCAAGGTTTCCTCCTCACAGAGAAGGGATCACAAGGTGTGTTCCTAGAGAAAGGCACTCCAAACCCTCTGCACGGGGCAGTGTACCACACCAGCCACAGGGCCCCGTGTGCCTCCAGGGGCCCCGAACCCACCTCCTTGTAGGTCCTCAGGTGTCCAGCGACCTCATAGTGCACCGTCACGGACCCCACGTCCTGGGCCACGGCCACGCCCGTCTTGGGGTCGACATGGAGGATGCTGCTGGTTGAGGAGCTCCAGGTTCCCGAGAGCTCTGCAAGTGAGCCATGGGTGTCACCGTTCCCGTGTCTAGGCACTATAGCTGAAGCCCGGCCCGCCCCGACGGCCGCTGCCCGTGGGGGCTCACTCACCAGGCTAAAGAGAGAGCCATGCTGCCTGCCCCTCTACCTGAGCCATCAGCAGCTCCCTCCCTGCCTCACATGCCCTCTGCACACTGTGGCACCCTGCCCGACTCTCACGCCCATGCTTCTCTGCTTGGACTCTGGACCACTCTGGGTGCGAAGCCTTGGCTGACCCCTGCTCTGGGTGGGCGGGGTGTTGTGTCCAGGTACCCGCTCTGCAGCCCTCCCCCACAGCACTGCCTCTGCCCATCCCCTGCTGCCTCATCAATTCCTTGTTAGCAAACTCACAGCAGGCGTCAGGCTCAGCGCTGTCACTACACAGCACTTCGGATTTAAAGTCAATCACCTTATGCAATACCCACAATAAAAGCACTCAACAAACACGTTCTATTTATGGCAAATTATATTTCTTTTTAGTTAAAGGTAGCATATCATTTCCTTTTAAAATAATGTAATGAGGTAAAAATAAAAGTGGAGCCAGGCCAGGCGTGGTGACTCAAGCCTATCATCCCAGCACTTTGGGAGGCCGAGGTGAGAAGATTGCCTGAGCTCGGGAGTTCAAGATCAGCCTGGGCAACTTGGTGAGGCCTTGTCTCTATAATAAATAAAAAATAAGCCAGGTGTGGTAGCATGCGCCTATAGTTCCAGCTACCTGGAAGGCTGATGCAGAAGAACTGCCTGAGCCCAGCAGGTGGCGGCTACGGTGGCCATGAGCATGCCACCTGTACTCCAGCCTGGGTGACAGACTGAGACTCTGACTCAAAAAGAAAGAAAGAGCTAGGGGTGGGAGGCCCACGAGAGGGAGGTGCCACTGTGGGGTCAAGAGACCAAAGGACCCAGAGCCCCAAAGATGAAAAGTGAAGAGATGCCCACCGTGCATGGTGGCTCATGCCTATAATCCAAGCACTTTAGGAGGCCAAGGTGAGAGAAATGCCTAAGCCCACAGGTTTGAGACCAGCCTAGGCAACTTGGGAAGACCTCATCTCTATAATAAATAAATAAGCAAATAAACCAGGCATGGTGGTGCACGCCTGTAATTCCAGCTATTTAGAAGGCTAAGGCAGAAAGATCACCTGAGACCAGCAGGTCGAGGCTGCAGTGGCCATGATCGTCCCACTGCACTACAGCCTGAGAGGCAGGAAGTGAGACTTCAACTCAAAAAAAAAAAAAGAAGAAGAAGAGATGCTGAAATAGGGATTTAAAATGTGTGGTATGTGACTGGGAGCAGTGGTTCAAGCCTGTAATCACAGCACTTTGGGAGGTCAAAGTGAGAGGACTGCCTGAGCCCACAGGTTCGAGACTACCCTGGGCAAACTGGCAAGACCTCATCTCTACAAAAAATTTAAAAAACTAGCCGGGCATGGTGGCACATGCCTGTGGTTCCTGCTGCTCGGGAAAGCTAATGTGGAATGATCCCCTGAGCCCAGCAGGCCAAGGCTGCGGTGGCTGTGAGTATGCCACTGCATAGAGTGAGACTCCGACTCAAAAAAAAAAAAAGTGGAGCCAATCTGAGAAAAAAAATGGAGTCAATAATTGTACATGTGTTCCGCAGGCATACAGGTGGCGGGGGAACGGATGCGGTGGCAGCGGCGGAGCCTGCCGACGGCCGCTTCCCCCAGGCCTTCCAGCCTGCGGCAGGCAAGCCCAGCTCCCCTGCTGCTCAGCCATGCCCTGCGTGGCTCCCCGCCAAAGGCCCTAAAGCGACAGACGGCCCAGGG